CTGCTGAAAATAGTTGAAAGACTTCCATTGATTACACTGGACCTAGAATCCAGTTGTTGGTGAAGCAGTAAGAGCAGTCCATGAAAAATAACGTCTTATGTACTTTTTCATTTTTAGTGCTCTATCAGGATATAATGGTACTGTCTTTGCATATGGACAGACAGGCAGTGGCAAAACTTTTACCATCACTGGAGGAGCAGAGCGTTATAGTGATCGAGGCATCATTCCCAGGACCCTGTCTTACGTTTTTCAGCAATTGCAGAAGGTACAGAACTCTTTTCTGTTGTTTTTAAACACCCAATTTATGCATACTGCATTAACTCAAAGAAACAATCTTAATGGTAAGGTTATAATAAAACCTGACTTGAAGCCCAGCAAAGAAAGGAAATCTACCCTGAAACTATGGCATTTCTATAAAGCCAGCGTTAGTAGTGCTAGATGAACTGGCTTGTTGCCCAGACACTGAAAAATAATAGGCAACTTGTGCTGTTATTTCTTTATAAGAGCATCATATTCTGGATGGCCTAGAGTACTATTTGCTTAAATACTAGGTTTTCTTATAATCTGTCCTATTTACATTGTATAGTAAAATCCCAGATATCTGGCATGAGTGGGGAATGGGGGGTGCTGGTAATGTAACAATGCCGGTTACCTGAGGGCACAGGGTTTCCGTCTGGACATGGAGGGAGGTGGTGGCATCTGCATGTGGAGCAGGGCCTGGGGGGAGTGGCGGCGGCCTTATGCGGAGAGGCAGCAGCGCAGTGTGGTGGATGGGGGGGTGGCAGCAGCAGCCACGTGCGAGCTCCTTCCCCCCCACGTCTGGCCAGATGGAAATTCCAGTTACTAGTGTGTGCCAGTTAGTATAATCCAGGATAAAAGGGATTTTACTGTAGTTTGTAGGAGAGTGTGGTAGGGACCACCCCTCTGGTCTGGGTGTACTGGATCTCTGCTTCCACTTCCCTTCATTCTTTCCTGCCATGCCTTGTTGTTAAGAAAATTAAAGGGTGGTTAGCTGTCCAGAGAAGAGCAGAGATCCACCTGACTGAAGGCTGTCTTCTCCTAAGGGCTCCTCCCTCTCCCACACCCTGTTCCTTTCCACTCCTGGCCGGGTGGCCCAAATCTGCCGCCTTAACTTGGGACTCCTGTACCCCTCAGGCAGTCACTGCCATTTGGCCTCATTTCATAGATTCATAGATGTTAGGGTTGGAAGGGACCTCAATAGATCATCGAGTCCGACCCCCTGCATAGGCAGGAAAGAGTGCTGGGTCTAGATGACCCCAACTAGATGCATATCCAACCTCCTCTTGAAGACCCCCAGGGCAGGGGAGAGCACCACCTCCCTTGGGAGCCCATTCCAGACCTTGGCCACTCTAACTGTGAGATCCAGCTGCTAACTCGTGCTCCGAGATGTTCACTTTCATATTCTCCCTTATAGGCTCCCAACCTACTGTCTCCTTCGAGCCTTTCCTGGTGTGATGTAATCAGTTCTTGGTCTAGTCTGGAATGCCAGTCACCGCCTAGTTTGTTTCATGATGTCATAAAAGATCAGTTATTGATGAATTTAATAATTTCTCCTGATTCATGGGAGAGGGGCGAATCATCAATGAATTCAGCAGTCTCTCTTAATTCAGATGAGAGTAATTATCACTGAGATCCGTAGTCTCTTTTAATTCATGAAGGAGTAATCAATTATCAATGAATTCTGCAGTCTCTTTTAATCCCTAGAATAGCAATGAATCATTAATGGGTCCCATGGACTCCCTTGTCTTGTAGGAGCTTAGTTAATTCTACCCCAATCCTATCAAGTCTCTATATCTTATACAAATCCCATTCATTTTCCTTTTGCTTCTCATCAATGTGTGAGGTTCCAGACTTGTACGATCATGTCAGCACTTTATCAACAGCCTGTGGTCACATGTTTAACTCATTATCTTCATGGAAACCTCACTGGCCTTTCTGCCAGTCAGGCTCCTCTTCACTCACTCCATATCCCTCACTAGTCTGCTTCTGAGCCTCCCTTGTTTCCTGGACCACTCCACTGGGTCCCTGGGATGCTGCTGGGAGATCCCAGCTCTGCATCTCTATGTGGGTTGCACAGCATTCTCAGCCTGCCATGCATTCCACGCTCTGGAGGGTACCAAATGTGCCGGCTCTTTCTTTAGAAACTGCCAGAATTCCCACGGACTGATGAGGGCTCATTCCCTCTTCTCGTGATCACATATGCCCGGGGTTTGGCTCTTTCACCCTGGACCACACACGGACTTCTCACCTGGTTGCTCCAGTAGCCATTCAACCCCACTGGATTCTTCAGGGTAAGTTTTTTCCCCAATCCTGTCCCGACAGCATTCCTTGGCCGGAACAGGGACTGGAGTTGGTTCCCCATTGCATTGTTATTGCATGAATTATGAATTATGGAATTGTTTTTGTTATTGGGTCCTAGAAGCCGTAGATCAAGAAGAGTAGTAGAACTAGTGTTTTATCATCTGTTTTGAGTTACCTTTTTTTGGTTTGTTCGGTTAAACCTTAGAATCATAGAAAATTAGGGTTGGAAGGGACTTCAGGAGGTCATCTAGTCCAACCCCCTGCTCAAAGCAGGACCATTCTCAACTATATTGTCCCAGTCAAGGCTTTGTCTAGCTGGGTCTTAAAAACCTCTAAGGATGGAGATTCCACAACCTCTCTGGGTAGCCTGTTCTAGTGTTTTACTACCCTCCTAGTGAGGAAGTTTTTTTCTAATATCTAACCTAAACCTCCCTTGTATCATTAACCTTATAACCTTCATAAAATACATATTGTATTCTGATTTCTCTGGATAGAACCCTTTGAAAGTCTTTCAAAAATGTTTTGGTTATTTAATTAACAGGATTTATTTTACTAGGTGTTATTAATCAATGCCAGTTACTTGCTTATAGGCATGTATGATAGAAACATAATACTAATATACATAAAAATATTATGCCTGGCAGTTTTAAATTTCAGTATCTCAACTTTTTTTGTTGTTCTAAAGCAAAGATATCCCTACCACAGTAACCTTTTTGGTTTACTTTTACTTTAAATATGTATTCAATACAAATATGTAAGAGGCTGATTCACTGTCTGAGCTGGGGCATTAGAGTAGGCAGATGTTAAGCAAGTTTCTCTCCATAACTGCACATGTATACCACATGAACAAGTAAAACTATAAATAGTACAAGAAGAGATAAAAGATTTTCCCCACTAATACATTCTTTTCAACATGCATTTGTCCATCTGTTACTTATTTAACATTTTAATGGTATCTATAGATCTTCTTTAAAAAGGTATCTAGACCTAAAAAACTGGTTAACAGTAATCTAGAGGAGACTTTCAGAAGTAGTAAATTCTACTCTAAAGGATCAAGTTTTGTAGATTATTCACATGTGGAACTTCAGTTGAAGCCAGTGGAAGTCCTTTGTGTGAAGCAGCTAAAGGTTTGGCTTGTCAGCGGGAACAAAGTGACCACTGTGACAGAACACCCCTTTGGGTGTCTGTCCCTTTAAGGGCTGGAGCAGGGAGCTGACAGGTGGCTGATGAGAGTAGCTATTTTAGAGAGTGGCCATTTTGGGAGAGCTCTGTTACAAGAGCAGAGCAGTTGGTGTTCAGCTGCTTGGGGAGTAACGTCGCTTGGCAGAGCTCCTGCTCCAGGAATATCTTGGAGGTAAGAGTGAGGCTGTTGGGAAGGGGGAGGCCTCATTGGTTCTGGGCATGACCTAAAACTGCACCCTGACGGAATAGGGAGGCCTGGTAGGCTTGCCCATGGCAGGGCAGGACCACCTAAACGCCAGGACCGAGAACCTACCCAGTGTAAGGTGGATTGGGTACCTAAACCCCTGCCTCCAACTTTGGGTGGGTTACTAGGAGGACTAAAGGGGGCCAGGCATGCAGAGTAGCTGTACCTGAGCCCTATGTGGTGTTGGACCCTGGAGCGGGGGCCAGGTACATTGAATGAGCAGCACCTGAGTCCTACGGGTGTAAGACCCTGACCCTGGGAGAGGATGGAGTGAAGGTCAGGCACACTTAAGGAAGAGAAGCACCTGAACCTGTTGGAGTGGAAGACCCCAGGCCCCAGAGAGTAGGGGGTGCAGTTATGGCCCGAGAGAAGGGTGTAGTGATCCAGTGAGGGGCCAGTGATGAAGCAGTCCCATAGCTGAGCAATCGCTCAGTCCCGTTCAGGTGAGGGTCATGGGAAAGGCCCAAAAGGCCGCACCAGGACTAATCGAGGGGTAGAGAGAAAAGCCTGAGGAACAATTTGAGTAGGGCGGAGTGAGTGTGGCCTAGATAGGCATCATACAAGAGACCAGGTGAGAGCCAGGGCAGTGCTAGAGGCCCCGGTGAGAGGGGGTTGGTGTGTGTGTGGCCTGGGAAGGCAACGTGGGAGAGACACAACTGTGTGTCAAGTTGGACCCAGCTTTGAACTGGAGATGCAACACGCTGTGAGACATCAGCGAAGCATGGGACACTTATAGGGATGGTAGGAACGTGAACTTATCACCCATGGTCATGTGAGCGCATTAAGGGCAGCCTCCAGCCTATTTGACATCACAGTCAGTTATCAACAAGGCATGCCAGGTGAACAAGGCAGGCAGTTTGCCCAGCAACAAGGGCGGGGTCATACTAGTACCAGGCCTGGAAGGTGCTCTTGTCACATTCACGTTAAATAATTAGCGTATTTATACAATTTCTCTGTCTCTTTCTTTCCCCTGGTGTTTGGAGACTGTCTCTGATTCACCCACACCTACTGTACTTCTTTTTCAATCCCATATTTGTTGTTCCAGTTTTGAGCTTTTCCTGAGATGCCACCACTAATAATAATTCTCAGACAAGCTACATTAGGATTGTTTGAGGATACATACCAGCTAGTTAAACTAAAATATTTTACAGCAGTGCCTTAATTATCCCCCAATAAAGTATGAATCAACTTTAGAATTAAGATTGAGTTTGCTAGCTGTGTTAGACTCGGGCAGAAGGCAAGGCAGAATGGCACTGTACCATAGTGTCAGTTCATAGGATCTGATGAAGTAGTTTGTTACCTGTGAAAGCTTATGCCTCTCTGAACCAGTTAGTCTCTGAGGGCATTTATACATGTGCTCCAGGAGTGGGGGAAGGGGGGCGCTTTAATTAGAGTTGCTCTCAGAGATGCTTAAAAATTAGAGGTGATCTCAGATCCATTCTTAGAGCCACTCTCAGAGCTGCTTAAAAATGGCAGTGGGGGTGCTTTAACTAAAGCTTATCAAATGAGCTTTAGTT